GGAGAAATCTGTAGTCTACAACAGAGAGTCGCCCAGGTTATTTATTCCTGCTTTGAAGCAGGTGACTAACTGGGCTGGACTCACTCCTTCTGATCGAACTTACAATAAATGCACAGCAGCCCTTGCTGTTTCCAAGCCAGGGACTCAGCAAACACATAAAATCAGAGAGAACATACCCTGTGTCTAAAAAGAGGTCATTAATATGCTTGGTTTCAGCTCCAAATAGCCCCCAGATGCTGATTTGGGGCCTTCTGAAGCTCCTGAGCTCAAAGCATTTTGCTCTAGGAAGAAAGATAAAGATCAGTTTTCTTCCAGCTGTGCAAAATGGATCCCAATTAATTATACTCCACTTTTTTTTTCCTGTGTGAGGCAGAACTTGTTTTTCTAGTACATTGTGCCAGTCCTTGCCACACTGGAGGTTCTGAACTCCTGTTTCGCTGAGAGAGCTCCGCCAAACAGACGGTGGAAAAAGTGAAGCCAGTAACAGGGAGACGGTGAGTTCATTTGGAGGTTGGGGTGAAAGGGAGGGGTTCACAATAGCATAGGAGCTCAAGACTCTTCTTGCACGGTTCAAGGCAGTTTTCAAAATGTTGAGGTGACTTAAATCCAGATGCCTGCTTCTAGAAGCCTCTCTCTCATTTGGACTGTTAATTGTTCATAGCTGCGGGAACACTAGTGCTAAGAGCGGGCCATCAGAAAGATGTAGAAAGGAGGGATCATCATCTCACAAGCCCTTCCCTCTATAAAGACAACACAGTATGCTGTGCATTGCCTGAGATTGCCTGCATCAGGTGTGAGTGTAGTGCGAGCTTCTACCTGCATGGGCTGAGCTACAGAAATTCTGGAAATCTGGTGTGTTTATTTTATTAATTGCATTTAAACCCTGCTTCTCCTCTAACAATCTTTAGGCAATATAAGTAGCTCTCTTCCTCCCCATATTATTCTCACAACAACCACCCTATGAAGTAGGTCAGGCTGAAAGAGAGTGACTACCCAAAGATCTTCCAGGGAGTTTCCTGGTTCACTGGAGAGTCCAATCCAGTGAAATCACAGTCTAACCACTACACCAGGATGAGGACACCCGAGGCCTTTCCCCACGGATTTAATGACAGCTGGCTACGCTCTTAGCTGGCTAGATAGCTCAGTGGTTTCAGTATCAGGCTGTGGGCAGAGGTTGGCAGTTTGATCCCCCCCCCACTGTGCCTCCTGGGAGAAGAGACAGCCGGTCTGGCCATGGGAAAGCTGCACAGTCCCAGAGTATACCCCAGAAGAAGGGAATAGTAAGCAACCTCTGAGTATTCTCTACCTAGAATTGACTTGACGTTGCTCAATTTTTGTGAGCCATGCTCTTGCAGTGCAATTGAAATCTTCATGTTTTGTTTTCCTTTCTCCTGGATCTGTGGTGCATGTCTACTTAGTTAACTTTGTCACCGTGGTTGGTTATGGTCACCTGCTCTTGTTGTTCTCATTTTAGCCAAAGGGATCTCAAACGTTATATAGGAAGTGGGCAATAAAAAGATACGGCACATACGAACTGTCTGCATAAAGCCACTGTTAACCTAGTACTTCCTCTTTCTAGTTTCCTTGACCCAGTGTATTTTACATGGAAATTAAGCAGACCATAAATGTAATGTCTCTCTCTTTGCTGCTGGCTTTTATCTTGGTTTCCGAAGTCCTGTCCTTAGTCATCATTTCACTGTTTCTGTTTTATAGTGTTGATGTGCTGTACACAGATCAGGGAATCCTGGTCATTGGGCGATCTAAAAGTGCAACCAGTAAATCATGTCAAGATTTCCATGGCTTGTAACCAGTCTCTTTCAGCCTTGACCTTGACCTGTGGAGCTGCTTTTTTTCCTCACCTGTCCTCCCTTTCATCCTTTCTGTTAAAGTTTCCCTTCCAGCTGATTTGATTTAAACTGTCTTTGCACATGTTAAACATCCTTCTTTTGGCTTGAGGAACTGTATCCATTACCAGCATGCTTTTTTTAAAAAGTTAACAAGTGTGCTACCCAAAATAGCACAGTATTTAAAAGATGTTCTCCAAGTCTGAGGTATCTTCAACAATACTTTCATGCAATGCTAATATTGGTGTCTCTGAAAAGGTGGTCTAACAAACCAATTGCTGGACAGAAATTCAAGAACTCACCAGCAGGTGTCTCTGTAAACAGCTGCATCCCCATTTCTTTTCTTTAAATGGAAATTAACTCCACTGGGATCAAAATTAAAGCACAGTGCGTGTCAAGGGGCTGACTTAAGACTTTTCACTGTCTGAGGTGAAGGATAAGTGGCTCTCCCACACACCCATAAATCCATTACACATACAAAATTGACCAAATTGGCAGTTAATCTTACTTCAGCACTAGCACTGGAGAAGCACCCTGTTGGGTACCAGGTTTGCTGAAGCGACACAGCGCTAGTAACACTGAACTCCAACAACTGCCTTCCACTTCTGTCTGTCTGTCTGTCTGTCTGTCTGTCTGTCTGTCTGTCTGTCTGTCTGTCTAAAAAGTTCATAACTCTATGGCCTTATGTGTCTGCCTAGTGGTGAAGATGAGGCTGGTCAAAGTCCGTCCGTCCGTCCGTCCGTCCGTCCGTCCGTCCGTCCGTCCGTCCGTCCGTCCGTCTAAAAACATCGTAACTCTATGGCCTTATGTGTCTGCCTAGTGGTGAAGATGAGGCTGGTCAAAGTTCGGGAGGTCTGGACTGCTGAACCTTCTTGCTAGAGCTTTATTTGCAAAGGGGAACAGTCTGGGATGGAGGACAGGCATGCCGCTACTCTCTTTTTTTCTTTTTTCTTTTTAAGAAAGTCGCTCTCCCTACAAGGATGATGATTCTCCAGACCCATCTTCAGACCCCCCCCCAATTGCTTGTGCTATGCCTAGGAATGTAGGGTATATTCCTTTGAACTCAAGCAGACTTTCTCTGGAGAGATGCGATTCATATACCTCTGGTGGTGGTGGTGGTGGTTTAGTCCTTTAGTTGTGTCCATATACTGTACTAACAATAACTGGCTGTTGCCTGACCTATATATACACAGCATGCTGAACCACAATGTTCCAACACATGTGCGTCTGTCATGGAAGTCACATGTTCAGCTGTGTTTCAAAGCACAATCAAAGCCACGCATCCCATCAGAAGTACTAACATGTGGGGAGATTTCTCTTCCCTCTAGTGCCTGATGCCTTTTCTTCTCTTTTTTTGTGTCTAGCAGGCACCAGCAGGTAGGCTAAGCAGTAACAAAAATAATCAAAATAAATGAGGAGGAACTCCCCGAAAATGAAAGGAGAAAAGGTAAAAATGGAATTGAACCAAAAGGGAAGCAGGCAGGTTGGCAGCAATCTGAGATGCAGGGCAGCAGGAACTCAGCACACCCACCAGGAAGGATGGAAGCAAAGAACTCTCTTCACTGGGTTTCAGGCCCTTTTACAGATTCCAGATTCCTGCTCCCAAAGGACATTCTGATTGGCTGCTGACAGTCCTCACAATGTTGCTGGATGAAAAATTTCTCAGGTGACTTGAGAAATAAAAGGGCACTGAATAGTTAGTTACTCAGAAGAGAAAATATAAAAGGAACACAATTTTTGGTTTGTGTGTGTACCCCTCTTTTGTGAGCACAAATCATATGTGTTCTACAGACTCTGGGTGTGATCAGACAGCTGCAAAGGTACAAGCTGGATCGGATCAGAACGAGTGACTTTAGTGGAAATGATCTCTTTCAAAGTGACACTGCTATCTGCAGGAGAATAATCCCTGCCCGCCTCCCAAACGTAGAAGCCCTGCACCTGGACAAGAAAGGTCCAGTTTGGGAACAGATTGGGGTCAGGCTGCAGAGCATTTCATATGATCACCAGAGAAAAGGTTGCACTGGTCCAATCCACAAGTGGTCCAGACTGTGATCTGTTTCCCCGTGTATGATCACACTCTCTGTTTCAGCAGTTGCCAGAAAAACACAAAACAGAACCTTTTTCATGTTTGGGATCTTTTGCTTGAACATGAAAAACCCATCCTAATCTGCACAGCAATCCCCTGTATTAGTGGCTCAGTGCTATAGCACTACATTGAAAAATAAAGTCAATAAGGTTAGATGCCTTACACTGTTTTCCATAAACCAATAGTATGAATGATGCAGTTCATGGAGGGTATCCTGGCTGCCAGGAAGACCTGAAGTCTTCTGGACTATTGTGGAGAGGGGGATAGGTGAGAAGTACAACATTAAAAGCTGAAAGCATGTTTGGACTTCAGAAACTTGATTCCAGGAGAGCTTTGTACCTCAGCAATCATACTTTCAAATAGTCTGTATTTATTGGTTGTTGTGGGTTTTTCGGGCTCTTAGGCCGTGTTCTGAAGGTTGTTCTTCCTAATGTTTTGCCAGTCTCTGCGGCCGGCATCTTCAGAGGACAGGAGCAGCACTCTGTGCTCTGGTGCAGTTTGTTTGGGAGTTATTTATAGCTGTGGGATCAGCTTTCGGCCTTTTCAGGAGATGGGTGATTATGGTGATCAGTGTGATTATGGTGATCAGTCTGTATTTATCTCCTGGTGATCAATCACCAAATAAGTGAGTTGATTTGCAAGCTACAGGAGGTGTGAAAAGCTTGTGCTGTGACAGCCAGACCAAACGGATGGAATTCCTTTGCAAAATATGCTATCTGTAGTATACAGTTGGGTGGTAACCTACCATAGAAATGAACTGGATTATAAAGGAGAGTCAGGGCGGAGTGGCATGGGGTAGGTGGGAAAAGGTGATGCACCCTTCTGGCCAAGTCTGGGGCTTGGGAATTGACATCAATGCAGGCAGCTAGCTGCACCTAGGTTTAAATATACTGGCTGCACAAATAATGCTGTTCTTGACATTTGCCTATGTAATTGGTGGTTCTAGCTGGTGTCACTCCTACCTCCTGCCCACATACAAAATTTAAATCATATAGTATTGCAAAGCTTGTTCATGGAGTGGTAGCAGAAGTCTTATTGGCATGTATTAAATTTTGTTTAGACCAAGATGGGGAACATACTGTAAACCCTCTCCTGATATTTTGGACTTCCAAATCCCAGCAGCTCCAGACAACATAACTAAGGTAAGGAAGGATGTGTCGAAATTGTAATCCAAAGTGTCTGAGGGGCAAAAGGTTCACATCAGTCTGTATCATTCCATAGCACAGATCTAACCTGCAGCAACTGCAATGTAACATGAAGCCTCTTCTCCCTTCTGTTTCCAGTAAAGAGTGAGCTATGACACAAGCGAGACATGGCCTGTATTGGTTTCAGAACCTTTCACTGCTGTCCCTTGATCTTTGGAAATACGGCATGTTGGCCCTGTCCCTTCTCCTGCTCTTGGTGGCATTAATCATTTTGACCTGTCAACTATGCAAATGCTGGGCACTCAAGAAATCTGAGACAGGTACGTTTCAGAGAATGACCTGGGTAAGCAATGTGTGTTCCTCTTTAACAATTATGTCAAGGACTGAGTTCAAGAAGGTGGAAAGATAGTTGCGCCCTGTGCCTAGAATCCTCCACTTTCTCTTGAACTAACTCCTCCTCCTAATCCTCAGTCTCAAAAGCAGTTCCAAAAATCACAGCCATTTTGCATAAAAATTCAAAACAGAGTTTGCAAATTCTGCAGAGAAAATTTTCTGCCTGGGAGGAATCATTTTACCCTTCAGGACAGGGTTATCCTAATAATAAAATGTACGGCCCTGTACATTTTATGTTAATGGATGTGGATTCCCCTCATGCACACCCACCCTTGGGCTGAGGTACACTTCTCTACCCGTGTGCTGAAGTGGCAAAGACTGTTGTTGAGGGTGTAGGCATTCGAACCCTGCTCTTCTTCCAAATTCTACAAATGCCTCGAGGAAACTTTCCAAATAGGAACTGCTTACAAGGAAACACAACTTGTCCATTTATTTAATCTGTGAAACACTTCCTTTTTCCAGTTTTCAAAGAGATAGCCATATTAGTCTGTGCTAGCATATCAGGCAAAAACTGTAATAACAACAACAGCAGCAGCAGCAGCAGCAGCAAAAGCATTGTGGCACCTTAAAGATTAACTGCTATATTTTAATTTGAGATTTTGTGGACATAAAGAGTCAGACTCCGTGGCAAATATTTATACACTTATAGATGGGAGCCTTGCTGGGAGAGACTATATTTTTAACAAAGAGACTGTTTTTCCTGGGCATAAGCTGTTGATTGTGTAGCACTGAATGTCAACAGGGATCTTGAAGGTCATTGCGAGGTGTGAAATGCCCCACTACTGTATCAACAACATGTGCCAAGGATAGAACCGTCTCTTTGTTAAAATTACAGTCTCCTCCAGCAAGGGGCCCATGTATAAATGTATAAACATTTGCCCTGTGGGGACGTGGTGGTGCTGTGGGCTAAACCGCAGAAGCCTGTGCTGCAGGGTCAGAAGACCAGCAGTCGTAAGATCGAATCCACGCGACGGAGTGAGTGTCCGTCGCTTTGTCCCAGCTCCTCGCCAACCTAGCAGTTCAAAAGCATGCAAATGTGAGTAGATAAATAGGTACCACCTTGGTGGGAAGGTAAAACGACGCTCCCTAGTCACGCTGGTCACGTGGCAATGGAAACTACGGACAAGCGTTGGCTCTACGGCTTGGAAACGGAGATGAGCACCACCCCCTAGAGTTGGACACGACTGGACTAAAAATGTCAAGGGGAACCTTTTACCTTTATTTGCCCTGTAATCCTGCTCTTCTTTCTGAGGAGGTGGACTTGTCCACGAAAATTCACATTAAAATATGGCAGTTAGTCTCTAAGCTGCCACAACATTTTTGTCTTCTTTCTTTCTTTTTTCTTTTTTCCTTTTCTTTTGGCCTGATAAGAAAACTGACTTCTTCATGTTAAAACATGAGCCAGAATCCTATTAGTGATTGGGTAAAGTTTGCCTGACTTGCTGTGGCTAATTGATGACATCTCTGCTGCATGACAGGGCTAAGCTATTATGCAAACTTTATACAAACACCAATACAATTCTGCCCCCCCCAAAATGGAAAAATAAAATTTGTTCATTACAATAATCATTATTATAATATTGTCAACATATTAGTTTTAAAAAGCAAATAAAATAACTAAAAATACCCCCCAAAAATTCAATTACATCCCCCAATAACAAAATAAGTTAAAGCAATAGGTTAACTGTTACGCTAAGATTTAACCCTTCATTGCTTGCATTAATTGTTAAAATAATGAACTTCAAAATTCTACTTGAAAATTTGCAACCGTTACAGGGTTGCAAATAAGTTTCTATGAATTATTTCCAAGGTCAGTGAGGAGCATTATCTTTGCTAGTTTTTGCAGGAAGATTTGCACAGATGTCCCTTAGTATATAACAGTCCATTTCCCAATCAGATATAGGTGTCATGGTATGCTACATCCCATGAGCTGAGCTCCAAGATTTGAATTACATTAAAGCTGCCTGAGAGGCACAACTAACCGACATTACAAAAGATATGGACGTGTCTGTGTGCCTCCTTGATACTTTTCTATTCAGCACAACAGATGTAATGTCCCAGCTCTTTGCCTTGAGCAATAGCATAGTGGTGAGTTTGGAAATGCAGTTGCATGTTATAACTGTTTCCATAACCATTCCCTTCTCCACAAAGAGAGTCCAAAAATGGAGGCAGCTGCATCTATCCACATGAACAAAGGAGGGGTGGGTCATTTCTAAAGCTCGTGGTTCTTAATCACCTGTCCAAGATCTAACTACCCTGAAATACATTGCATTACAACAGGGATAGCTTGCAGAAATGTATAATGATCCTGGGGAAACTCTTTTTTTTCTTATCTTCTGTGAGGACTGCAGCAAAGGTTAGAAGTAACAAGGAATCTTGAGGGGGATAAAAGCAAAGCGAGGCAAAGCGTGCTGCTTATATACCGCTACATAGTGCTTCAAGCACTCTCTAGGTGCTTTACAAGTTAATTATGTAGGCTACACATTGCCCCCCCCCCCCCGTGAGCTGGGTACTCATTTTACCGACCTTGGAAGGATAGAAGGCTGAGTCAACCTTGAGCCGCTACCTGGGATTGAACCCCAGGTTGTGAGCACAGTTTTGGCTGCAGTACAGCAGTTTAACCACTGCGCCATGAGGCTCATTTGTGCCAGCAAATGATATAAGAATCCCTGCTAATCAGAAAGTCCCTGGGCTTTGACCCTGTGAGTCTTGGTTCCACTACACTACTGGCCATAAGGATACCACAAGAAGCAGCATATGTTTGAGTCAATGTTGAGGAGTGTAGAAAGTTGTTTTTGGTATAAATATAACAGACATCAGTGAATTCTGTGTTTCCTGTAAATCTAGTATAGCCCTATATATGTATATTGGTTTGATCTCATGTGCGAGAAGCCTAGGATCCTGTAATGCGTAATTCTTCCAAACCAACTGTTCTCAAGAATCTTTGATGAAACTACCTCAAGTTAACAGATATTTAGGTTCTAGAGCAACAAGTTGGGGACAATCACATATCCCAGAGGTAGCATCTCACTTCCAAGAATATAGTAACTTCTCATACTTTCAGCCCACAGTCTTATTGTTGGGCTTCCCACTCCCCACCTTGCTGTCGCATCCATTGTGACAATGAGGATTGTGCAAAATGTGACTGCCTGAGAGTCACAAGTACCTCTCAGATAGTGCCATGTGCCACTTTTCTCTTTCAAAATGGGAGCGACAACAATGTGTCTTGGGGTCCCTCCAGTTCCTTTAGACTGGCTTCTGAAAACATTAACTGCTACCCTCACATTTGGTTGGTGGTGGTCCTCTCTCACGATTGCACTGTTGGGCACTTTAATTGCTGCAGAAAGACAACACATCAAGGAAGCTCAGAAAGAGAGAAGGCAAGAGAACGGCTTCCAAGGAAAAAGGTTAGAGGCACCTCTCCTTGGCTTTGGACAACAGCCCTATCATGAAGTCAAGGCAAGTATAGTAATCCCAAGCTGCCAAGAGAGGGAGAAGAAAAAGAGGAAGCATTTGACATCTTGGCTCATAAGGGAGGAAGTACAAAAAACATTGGTGATTCTTAATTCTTAACTCCCTTAAGTCTTCCTCCTGGAAGTGGGAGAAGACAGGAGGAGGCAAAGAGGAGGATTCACCCCTCCTCCATTTCTTTACAACACAGTAAGCCACCTTGCTTGGACAGGGACAGGGGTATCTTCAAATATGGAGCTTCCAGTTCTGTTCTGGAAACTGTCAAGCTGGCAAGTAGAGGTGAATGATTTAGGATAATGGGGAGGGCATGAGAAGAAGATTCAAAGGTGACTAGATGGGCATTCTTTAAGAAAAGCTGTAAAGAACAGAAAAGCTGTAAAGAAAAGGAGGGAAGTCTCCCTCCTGTCTCCTCCACAGAGCAGAGGAAGGACATTTTAAATTTCCCAATTACCCCATATAATTGAGAGGTTATGGTAACCTATCTGTTTAAACTACTAATGATACAAGGAACTAAAACTGGCTGGCAAATTGAAACAGGAACCTTCAATTTTCTGGCTTGCTTTGGTTCGATTTCAGCCATCTCATGTACTGGAAATGGCCCAAAATGGAGCAATCGTCCTCATACCTAAAAAACAGTAGCCTCTGACAGTGTAGGTAGGAATGCTTTGTGGGTGGCCTAGTTCACTATAGCAAACGTGTTATCTGATCACAAGCAAAAAGACAACCAGCCTATCCCTGCAGTGGACTAAATAGCAGACTAATTGCCCATGTAGTCATCCTCTTATTCTGTTTCAGCATGTTGATAAAATTAAAAGGGAGTTGGGAACAAGAGGCAAGGGGAAAGCAAAGGACAAAATGTTGTGGCACCTTGAAGACTAACAGATTTCTTTCAGTGTGAGTTTTCATGGACCAAAATCCATTTCCTGAAGGGCTCATACTCTGCCAACTCTTTCTTCATTGGTTAAATTCAAAGACAAGCAGGGATACTTTGTGGGCTGAGCAGGAGCAGTGCTTCGCCTCCACCCCAATTTTTTTTTTTGGGGGGGTTGTCCTCATGAGCAAACTTTGTAAGGACACCAAGACTGATTAAGGACAATTTCCTATTTTTTTTCCAGATTAAAAAAATCCAAAAGAAGCTTAAGAAGCTTGGTATCTGCCTCTCACCCTCCTTGGCCAACAGCAGTAGCTCTGACGTGGGCCACCTGGCAAGTGAAACCAATGTTCCTGACAGATCCCAGGGAAAACTGAGATTCTCACTTCTCTACAACAACCAGCACCTTGAGCTGCTCTTGACAGTTGTGGAGGCCCTGGGCCTCCCCAGCCAAGAGTGCACCAACGCCTTCGTCCAGGTCAGGGTATTAAGCTGGGCCTCCTCCCCATCCCCCAATCTCCAACGTATCATCCATGAATGGCAAACTCAAGTAGTGAAGAATGGCAGCAGCTCCATTTTTGGGGATCAGTTCACTTGTATCCTGCAGGAGACTGAGCTGTCCAAGAGCAGCATCAGGTTAGAGGTAAAGAGTCAATTTAATTCTCTCTTCTCCCCCCCACCCCCATCATTATTTTATGGACTAAGGGCAGTTGAAGGTGCTAGCAATCAAGGCAGTTTTCCAGTGTTGTGGAACTGTGCTATTCGTTTATGTATCACATTTTTCACTGCAGAAAGCAATTTGGGCTCATGGTGGCCAAGCAGCAAATGTCGTTAAAAGACATCGAAAATAGGCTAAACATCAGGTATTAAAATCACAACAATCAAAGCAATTAAAATACTGTCCTCATAGCAGTCAGTGAAAACAGTTCTAACCGTGTTACTGTATTTGTCAGAGGAGAATAATGGAGGCTCCTTTGCTCTTCCGCCTGATTTCTTCCAGTTGCAAAAATCCCAGCCCAGATTGTTTGCAGCCCAATTGCAGGGACTTTGGTTTTAAATAAAAAAATTAAAATACATAAAAATATAAACAGATAACAAAGCAAATCTAACTGGGACTGCAGATGGCTTAAGGACAGCTGGAGGAAGAAATCAGTTGATTCAGGAAGGTTGAATGCTCTTCCCCTGCACCAGGAAAGGGCTTCCTGCCTGCATCTCCTGTGTTGCCTTTGATTTTGGCAAATGTGAGGTAGAGGGGCATTCTCTGCTGAGATGAGTAGGCATCCCACTCCTTAAACCAATGTTAAAAGCTAAGGTGGACCTTTTGTTCCGAGACACATGCACATACGCCCCAGGCCTGTGCTTGTTCAGTGTCAAAAGGCAACATGCCAGTCCACATTGGACTGCTGGTGGCAACTGCAAAAGCAGAGATGTCCCCCTCCCCCCCCTCTTCCTGGCTACCCGGTTTCTCTTGCCCGGTTATGCTAGCTGTGGGTTATGCAAATTCTAGCTTCCTCCTAGGCAGCAGTTTCTTGGCATCTGTTGTATAAAGCAGGGCGCTCACTGCATGAGGGAAGGCATCTTAAAGAAACATGGGTCTTTGTGAGGTGAGGACGAGAAAGGCACGAGAAGCCCCTTTTCAAAATATGTAAGAGTTCAGTTCCAAATTGTGCAGAGTCCCGTGCGTCACACATGGTATTGCCAGCACCAGAATTCATACTGATTTTGGAATCAGTGGGGGGAAACTGTGTAAGCTATTGAGGATACAATATCTTCAACTGGTAAGCTGTAAAAAGTAAGCACAGCAGGGGAAAGGAAGGGGAAAAGGACAGGCTGATTCTTAAATCCTTCCTGTCCCTGTGTTTTTTTATGATGTAATGGTGTGGTGTGTGGGTGTGTCAGATGATGTGGTACTGTCCAATTTCAACTGGGCTAGCACAAAGACTCACTGTGAGCTGGCAAGTTAGCCACTATTAGTCCTCCATCTTAGATACTGCAAAAGTCCTAGAGCAAACTCAAAACTGCATCCATCATCTTCAAAGAATAGACTGTACAGTATTCTCAAAATCTAGCACAATTGGTTGTGCTTTTGCAAGCTTTTTTCTGCATTTTTGGTTTGCTTAACAAAGGTATCACCTCAGTGTGGATTTTAGAATTGCTTTTCTGCCCAGGAGATTGTAATTTGCTAGTCCTAAAGACATAGATGTTGGCACCCTTTCAGCTACAAGTGAAGCAATGGCTCCCTCTTCTGGACATGTGAGATCACGTAGATCAGTGGTTCTTAACCTTTGTTACTCTGATGTTTTTGAACTGCAACTCCCAGAAACCCCAGACAGCACAGTTGGTGGTGAAGGCTTCTGGGAGTTGCAGTCCAAAACTCCTGAGTAACCCAAGGTTAAGAACCAGTGACGTAGATCATGAAAGGGGAAAAATGATTTGCTTGAAACGTGGTGCTGGAGGAGAGCTTTGAGGATACCCTGGACTGCCAGAAAGAGGAACAAATGGGTCTTAGATCAAATTAAGCCAGAACTTTCTCTGGAGGCAAAAATGACAAAACTGAAGCTGTCCTACTTTGGGCACATCATGAGAAGGTAGGATTCTCTGGAAAAGACCATAATGCTGGGAAGGGTGGAAGGAATCAAGAAAAGAGGAAGGCCAAATATGAGATGGTCTGACTCCCTAAAGGAAGCCACAGTCTTGGGTTTGCAAGAGCTGAGCAGGGCAGTTCAGGACAGGGCATTCTGGAGGTCACTCATTTGTAGGGTCACTATAAGTTGGAGGCAACTTGATGCCGCGTAACAACAACGACAACCATATGGTAAACACCACTTGCCATTATTCTTGTTCTTACTAATGTTATGGCAATGATTGCTCCACAGGTTAAACACTTTGACAGGTATTCCCGGCATATACCTCTAGGAGAAGTGAGGGTATCCTTAAATACCCTCAGCACTTCTGAAAGCGTGGAATTCTGTGAAGAGCTGCATAAGGTAACTAAGGTAATAATGTTTTTAGAAATACTTTCCAAAACCCTGAGTTAAAATTCAGTTCCTTCCTGATTTGAAACCTGACGTTTCTCTTAATATCTCAGATCTGGATGCTGGGGTGGTGCTGACCTGACTAGTATAGCCAATGAAGAGGCAATGCCTGTGTGAGAGGCATTGTCTCAGAGCACTGCGATATATTCTGTTTTAGCAGGGCATCGTAACAAATTTCCCCTTCTTGGATGCACACTTTAACATGGTGAGGGACTGAGAGCACTCCCCCTCAGGGAACTGGACTCCATTAGGAGCCCGGTTCTCTAGCAGCGTCACCCAAGGTGGAATGTTCCCAGGTGAGTCAGCAGACTAGATGCATCCACCCTCTTCAAGAGTAACAGCCGCATCAGCAGAAGAGAATGGGTAAAGGTAATTCCAGTGGTGAGGGGTGGAGACGCTTCTGGAAGGCAGCTACTGGGTGGCGGCAGTAGCTGAAAGTAACACTGGTGGGGGATGTCTCACAGGCAATGGCAGTGACACGCAAGTTAACGTTTGTTAGTACTGCGTAGAAGGCAATGGTGAACTACTGCTGACCTCATAAACCATATGATGAGACAGTCCAGAATAAAACACAAGATAGGGCTGGAAGATGAGATTCCCAGGCTGGAAACATTCAGTCTGATACTGGAGAAGAACAAAGGACAAGTGTGAATTGCTCTGTTGCTAATGATGCAATTAGATTAAAAAGGATGTCCATTGGATTGACTTGCAATAGTGAAAGGAAAGTCTGATGCTGCACAACACATACAATTGGAACATGGAACATGAGAAGTACGAATCAAGGTAAACTGGAAACCACCAAACAAGACATGGAACATTTAAATATCGCAGTACTTGATGTCAATGAACTAAAGTGGACTGGAATAGGACTTTTTCAGTCAGATAACTACAATGTGTTTTACTCTGAAAATAAGAAACTCAGAAAAAAATGAGTCACACAACACATACAATTGGAACATGGAACATGAGAAGTACGAATCAAGGTAAACTGGAAACCACCAAACAAGACATGGAACATTTAAATATCGCAGTACTTGATGTCAATGAACTAAAGTGGACTGGAATAGGACTTTTTCAGTCAGATAACTACAATGTGTTTTACTCTGAAAATAAGAAACTCAGAAAAAAATGAGTCACTGTAATACATGAACTAAAGTGGACTGGAATAGGACTTTCTCAGTCAGACAACTACAATGTGTTTTACTCTGAAAATAACAAACTCAGAAAAAATTGAGTCACTGTAATACTGAGGGAAGATGTAGCACAGGCAGTTAAGGGCTATAATGCAGAGTCTGACCAAATAATATCCATCAGACTCCTGGGAAAACTCATCAACATAACCATCATTCAAGTCTATAACTACAGATGCTGCAAATTAGATTGCCAGCTTTTATGCAAGCACCCAGAGGAAATATATCACACCCCAAAACAAGACATGTCTATAATCATAGATGACTTAACACAAAAGTAGGGAAAACAGGAGAACCAAAAATTATTGGAAAATTTGACCTAGGGGACAAAAATGAAGCAAGAGGAGTTCTGAGAAGCCCGCCATCTGTTTATTGCAGATATGTGTTTAAAGCAACTAAACAGGACATCACCAGAAGGTCAATAACAGACATCAAATAGACTGTGTATTTGGAAGCAGCTGATGGAGAAGCTCTATTCTCTGTGTTCTTGGGATGGATAGTCTCACTGCCCACTAGGCTCTATAGAGGGAGCCTCTCAAGGAGCCATCTGTCCCTTAAACTCTTGTGGCTCTCATGGAGCCCTGCCACTGGGCTGGGAGTAGAAATGGATTAGAATCTCTGGGGCAGGTCCTTGGGACATCTTACATCTGGGCCAGAAGGCTTCAGGATATGTTAATTTACTATGAGCTAAAGAGTTGTTCTTCCTCGTTTTGGGGTCCCTTCACTGCTTTATTAAGGTTTAAATGACTGACTCATACTGGCATGGGAAGATCACTTAAAATCTCAGGGAATGGGATGCTGCTGACCTGCTATCTTTACAGTACTTTTCTCATGGCTGTGTAGGCTGGTGATGCCCTCACTCATGGGCAGTAAGCAACTAACCTGTTTCATTCCACCATTTGGATGTAACTGGAGAGGCACGAGGTGTGCCAACGGAGAAATGCTAAGTCCCGCTGCCAATATCCCTTTGTATTTCCCATCTCCTGGGCAAAGGTGCGTTCAAGGGCGTAGTTTCAGTTCACATCTAATGATGGTGGCACAGCCCATGAAGCCTGGCACATAGCTTAAATAAGCAGCCCACAGCTCTGAAAAATATAAAGTGCTGCTTATGATGGTGGCACAGCCCATGAAGCCTGGCCCATAGCTTACATGAGCAGCCCACAGCTCTGAAAAATATAAAGCGAAGCGTGCTGCTCATATACCACCCCAATGCACTTCAAGCACTCTCTGGGTGGTTTACAAGTTAATTGTGCAGGCCACAACCACCACCCCCGCAAGCTGGGTACTCATTTTACCGACCTCGGAAGGATAGAAGGCTGAGTCAACCTTGAGCCGGCTACCTTGGGATTGAACCCCAGGTCATGAGCACAGTTTTGGCTGCAGTACAGCAGTTTAACCTCTGTGCCACGAGGCTCCTGGGTTCAATGCAACCTGCAATATTCCATAGCAAATGCACAACAGTTCCATAGCAAAAGGTCAGTGGACTGAAAGGTCTTCTGGGAGGAAGAAAATGTGAAAGCTACCAGTGTAGATGAGGACAACACTAAATAAAAAAGAAGCCCTTGAAGGAACAGGCAGGCTGCAATGATTCATGTTTTGATCAAGAGGAAGACCGTCTCCTTCTTAACATGCTGAGATGAAATCAGAGCTCGAGGGTTGGAGTATAACTCCCAGATTCCATGCTGGCAGGTGATGGTGGAGGCTTGGGAGCTGTAGCCCTAAAGAGGTTTGGGCCAAACAAACAACTTCCTCCCCTAGCGCTCCTCCTTCCTGACAATTATGTCAAGACACCACATTGACAGATCAGTGTGGGGGGATGCCATTCTCCACCATTGAAGAGATCAGCTCCTCAGGGGGTGCAAGTCCTGCCTCAAGAATCCCTGAACCTATGGGCTCATGCTATGGGCCTGGCTTGTGCCTCCTATGTACTGCTGCCCCCTGATGGATTTGCCTGGCACCTTCCCTTCTACATCAGAGTCAGGTCCCTGGCTGTCGCTCAGGATGAGGGTTTTGATAATCAGACAGTGTTGTAGCCAATTCACAAGGACACATCTGTCTTTTCACAGGACACAGTCGGAGAAGTCCTTGTGTCGTTGAAGTGCCTTCCCATCTCTCAGAGGATAGAAATTGGGCTACTGAAAGTTAAAACTGCCTTGCTGTATAATAGTCCTGACAAACGTAAATATTAACTAATTTCTTATTCTTTGCCTGATCCTTGTGTATTTATTTATTTTCTCAGCTGATATCATACCAGCATGCAATGTACAGTATTTACAATAGCCAGGATATATACAGTACTGCAGATATTTTTTTCAAAGCAATCACCGCATTAATTCAGAATGCATAACAAAAATGATTTTTTCCCCAGAACTTAAAAAACATATATTTCAGTGTAAGCTTTCATAGACTATAGTCTACTAGTTCCTTGGACACATGAGTTACAAAATTTAGGCCACAGATTTGGCCTAAATTGTTCTCTTTTCTATTATATTTCACTCAAACTCTACCCCGACAGTCAGGTCTATCAGGTATAATAAACCTGTGGCTAGGCATATATAGTTCATGTTTTTGGACTGCAACTTCCAGATTTCCCTGGCAGCACCTCCCAGAATTGGATTACAATTCTCAGAATTCTACAAGAATTCCCCAGGCAGAATTCTGGGGCTTGCAGTCCAAAAGCATGGATCGGCACACAATTACAGTACCTCTGGCCTCAAAATTGTACCCCCTATGTCTGGAGAAGTGGATCATAGTAAATCTGTTAGTCTGTTGATCTGTTCAGCAGTTTGGCGTGGTTCACTTCCTGTCTGAACAGCTGATCCACAGTTTGGCACCCCACCCTGTCATTGCTGTTTATTGCTGCTTGATGGGTGCCTGCTGGAGCAGGCAGGATGTCAAACCATGGATCTGTTGTTCAGCTCGGAAACAAACTTTGCCTAACCACCAAACCAGCAGTTCCTCCCTATCTCTAGTCAGAGACCTTGGAGAGCTTCTGTTGGTCCACATACTGGAATTGATTGATTGATTGATTGATTGATTGATTGATTGATTGATTGATTGATTGATTGATTGACTTTCATTCATTCATTCATTCATTCATTCATTCATTCATTCATTCATTCAGCTTGTATCCTGCTTCCATTAGTATCACAGCACTACTCTGGGCTGGTTACCTAATGCAGGAAATCCATATATGTCTGTCTGCTTGTCTGCCTCTCTAATGATCAGAGTCAGTCTTCAGACCATGCAGCAGAAATAATGGTTGAGATACAATACTGTACGTAATTCCTTTCTCTGCTACATGCGTCAAAGATAAATTTTGCCTGTTTTGAAAACAACCCATAGTGATCTAAAGTCTGAGAACAACCCAATGTTTGTAAAGTAATCTCTTTCTTGAAGCAGTAACAGTAATACAGAAAAAAATTATACAGGTTACATCAGTCCTATTTAACAATAGCTATGTCTTGCCAAGCTGGTTGATCTTTGTGTAATTACTGTTTGTTTGGTGGGAGGACAGAGAAATAATTTCTGGACCCCTTTAAATATTAGCCCTCTGTTCTAGGACTGACTCTTCAGTTTGAAGTTAAAATTAATCCTCAGTTTGTGTCTGGAGCATGCGGCTCATATTTTCCCTCAGCATGCTTCATACAGCCTTCAGAGATTCTGCTTTCGCAGGCTTTCTCCCCATGTTTGCCTCTCCTGCAGATTTTGTGTCAGGGAGATGGTGCATTTTGTGTTTGTTGTTTTGATTTCTGGATGTTTGCCTCTCCTGCAGATTTTGTGTCACTGACATTCTCCCTATGCCAGGGGGATGGTGCATTTTGTGTTTGTTATTTTGATTTCTGATCAAAAGTACATGTTCCTAATACTCAGGAAACATTCATTAATCATATAGAAGGATGGTTCATTACTTATTACATCTCTGCCTATTTCCAAAAAGTACGTAGTTTCTTTCTTGGGATAATAATTCCAGATGTTTTAGAGATTCATGCTCAGTGGTGTAGAGATAAATTTCAAAGTGTGGGTGCTTTTCATGACAGCCTCTGTAGTCAGCTCTTCCCCAAGGAGAATAATAATTTAAAAAATGGATCGGCCCATGTCAACAAATGAGGAACAGCTCTTTTGTAAGGCTAATGACACTTAGTTGCCTATTCAATACCATAGCGCCCTCTTTTACATTGCATTACAACCAGGATGTTTGTAATAATGTAATGATCTTGGAAAACCAGTTCCTCTCCCAGCTATTGTGTTAATTGTTGTTAATCTTAGGAGGAACAGAGAATGAGGGGAAGAACTGATAATGTCATAGTCCCTGCTACTCAGAAAGTCTTGGAACCTCAGCTTTGCAAGCCTTGCCTCTCTTGCACCACTGCTTGTATTCATGGAATCTCTTCTGATGCCTCTTTTTCATTCCAGGGATATATGCCCGAATTGACGTCTTCTGCAACCTTCATAAGCAGAAGCATCAGAAATCCAAACCCAAGACTCTTGCCTCAGTGATTGTTTTCAATGAAACTTTCCTGTTCCACTTGCCGGAGCCTGTTGTTTGGGACTGTGCTGTTCTCATTTCCGTTTATGAAATAGAGCCCAAGGGCAGGCAGCTTGTCGGACAGGCTGCCCTGGGGAAACGAGGACCCAACGACAGGGATGATCACTGGGACTGCATGATGCAGTCCCTCCAGCAGCCTGTCGCTAAATGGCATCCTTTGCTCATTTGAAAGGAGGCTCTTGTTACCACGGGGACCTCGCTGGCTAGGCCCTCCCCTCTCCTACAAGCAGCAGCAAAAACATTCAGAGTGAGTCTCTGAAGCAAATGCAAGTAACATCTGGACGAGCTCAGTTAGAGCTGCTGTCATGGAAGCCACACGGCTTGTTTTGCGACAACCTTTTAACTCCTTCACTTCCCTCATTCCCATAGTAACCCCACTAATGAAAGTAACATTTTTTTAAAAGCTAGCACCATCTTACTTTCCATTATGCTAGCATCTAGATCCAGATGTGTCGCTTCCAGAAATTGGGGAAACATGTATGTCCTCTTCTGGAAAGCATTTCCAGATTTGAAAAAAGAGGTTCCTGGGCCCACAATAGGCCATCCCCTCCCAATATAGCAAAATTGCCCCCAGGCCCTTAGAGAATGCAAAGGAGAGCTATCAAAAATGGGGGTGTCAGAGACAGAGGGATCAGGAGTGCAGGAGGGGGCATACCCTGCAGACTCTAGGAATTAGGATGGCCACTGCTCCATAGCCAAAAAGGACGGCAAATATCACCAAAAGATTATTTTTCACAAAAAGAGTGGACATTTTGCACTAAATTTGTATATGTTGATTTAAACTAATATTTGCAAATATTATCACAATTAGCCGTTACTACTATAAATTACTATAATTTAAGTGGAAAAATACTACCGATCACCATGTTGCACAACACTATGATGAGGACACTATTGTGACTAATATATATGGAATAAACAAGGCATGTTGTTGTTATGTGCTGTCGAGTCACCTCCAACTCATAGTGACCGTGTGAATGAGCACTCTCCCAAATGTCCTGTCCTCAGCCGCCCTGCTCATCTCTTGCAGATTCTAGCCCATGGCTCTTTTAGGAAGTCATTCCATCTCTTATTTGGTTTTCCTCTTTTCCTTCTGCTTTCCACCTTTCCCAGCATTATTGTCTTTCCCAGAAAACCCTGCCTTCTCATGATATGCCAGAAGTAGGACAGCCTCAGTTCCGACATTTTGGCCTCCAGGTTCGATTTGCTCTAGGACCCTGAGAACGCTACAGACCCACTTGTTTGTCTTTCTGGCAATCCAAGGTATCTGTAAAACTCACCTTCTCTCTCCCTCCCTTTTTTCTTATCTACTTCTTTGCACTGGTTGTTGTAGCAGTTCTCTTTGTGTCTCTCTCTGCGAGAGTTACTGAAAAACTACATTTAGGGTCCTGACCCTGCTTCTGTCACCTTTCACTTTTGCTTCCTTTGCAATTTTAAGTTTTTCTTCCATTATCCATCTGGGTTTTTCTTTTCTTTTTAGTACAGGAATTGTCATTTTGCTTTATCTTTGATAATATGTCTGGTTTCAATCCACTTCAATTCTTTATATGGACTTTAAATGAATCAGAAATGTTGTTTAGATTATAAGGCAAAATGTTTAGTAATTGTCTGTGCTTTCTGCAGGTTACTATATATAAAGAAAATAAACAGAAATCACTGTAATTTAATACCATTAAATTATTGTTGTTGACAGTCATTGTTCATGAGGCATCATCATGTGTGATGGTTAAACCACATAGGCATCATTGTACAATATTTTACTGATGTGACTTAATATTTCAGTGAATAGCAGGTCCAGAAGAATGTAGAAAAAGAAAGAAAGAAAGAAAGCTCCTATTTTTACTTCTAGCACTGTTTCTAGGCATAGTTAACTATTGAACAGGTCCCTGAAGCTGTGTGCTTAATAGATATGCATTAACAAGTGCTAATATTTACTGTCATACTCTTGAAAGCTTCACTTGCTGACTCATGATTGTTAAGCTACAGTTAGAAAAAGTAAAGTCAGGCTTTGTTGCTGGCAAGTGAGCAACCCTTCCTCTAGAACACAGAGGAGGAGGCTGTTGGTGCAAGAAGACAATCACTGCTCTATCGAATCTAAGATGGACAGAAGGCCGCACGGTAGTTGCAGATGGATCCATTCCTCTGTTACAGTTACAACTTCCTCGTTTATGGAGAATCTAGACAAAATGGCTGAATTTTTGCACCTTCATAAATGTTCTTGCTTAATTTGTTTATTTTAATTTTTATTATAATTTAATATTTAAAATTTATGATACATCTCATTTCTTACAAATTTTCATGAATTGTAACAAACATTTCATGACAAAAATTCTGCATTAAGTGCATTCATCCTTGTACCGATTAATGGTGATAGCCCTCTATCATTTCCAAGACTGAATTTGTGCTGAATTTTTTTTTTACAGACTTCTAATGCAATTGAAGGCTTTTAATGTGTGGTTTCATAATGCAACAAATGCCTTCATACTTCTTACTCTTTGCCATTGAGAGTATTTGGCAATGGCAGTCAAGTTAAAAATATACATGTAGTATTTCACTTCAGAGACCTCTTTGACCGTGGTGTCAACTTAACACAGCCTATGTAAACAAGAGTGAAGTAGGCTGATCTATGAGCTATGTGAACTCCCTGCTCTTCCTGTTGCTTTGACAGAGACAGGATAAAAACTGTGAATGACTGTAGAAAAAGGGAATCACTGGGTGAATGTGCTTTCTTTATAGCAAATGTATATCAGTATATCAGAAAACCCCCTGGGGTGTCTGAATTGATTAGTTCCAATAGCAAAACAACTGACCCTTGCATCTCGTGGTGTAGGTATTCCACCTTACAAAGGCTTTATGTGAAAATCAGTCTGACAGTCTTTAAGATATCATGGAACTCTGTAGTTTGTGCTGTAACAAGCAAGATTTGCCCCTCCAAAACTGATGATTTTTGCAGTGAATGTCTGTCTATCTGCCTGTGTGTGTGAGAGAGGGTTCACTACTGGGACCACACAGTTTCTTGTCAGTTTTAATCCCAACTTCAGTACAAGAAGAGCATTTGCCCAAGTCTAAGGGTTCAATATTTATTACCGGCAACTCTAGAAAACTATTTGCATCAACTTTGAAATTCAACTTCTCTTCCTCAGCCGGGAAGGGGTTTTCACTTTTAACTTCAACAAACAGATTCCCAAAGGCAAACTCCCAAAGTCCAGGGGGGTTAGATCCATTACTACTGTACTTGCCCCAGTGGTATTGGCAAAAGGGGCATGGGCTCTCCCCAAGTTATCTGTGCTCTCGGGGTTTGTAATCCTGTGTCAGCAGGTTCGCGGTTGCTGGGAGTGGATACTTCTCTGACCAAGGTAGGTTCCTCCCTCTGCTCTTTTCTCTTCTCTCTCTTTTGATCCTGGCTCTTTCCTCTCTTATCTTTCGTAAACCACTCTCTTGCCTTCTTCTCCCCTCAATACGAGGATTTTACTGGTGTCTTTTCTCTTCTCTTTCTCTCAGCCTCCTCTCCAGGGACCATTAGCCTCTCCCGTTTATTCATCCAAGGGTTTAGGGTTAGGGTTCTATCCAAATCCACTCCCAACCGGGAAGGAGTACTTTCTTCTCCTTTCTCACGTCTGCTTCCCCAGCTTCCCTTACCCTTTCACTGATTGGCATCTTATATATCCCTTCCCCACTTTTTGCTTTCTTTCCCGCCTGTTCTACCTGTGCTGAATTCTCTGTGTCTCTCTTTCTCACCACTTTTGCCTCTTTCTCCTTTTCCTGTTCTTCCCAGATGGGTACTGCTGCTCTCTTGTCTGAAGGAATAGACAGCGCTCTGATGGGAGAGATCTCTATTCTGCTCTTCTCCTCACAGTGTGAGTTAATACCCGATTTTGCCCCTGGCTTTGCCTGTCAGTGGCTACTGACCCCCACTTTCAAAGACATCTTGGAGATGAATTGGTGGCCACAGCAGCATTCAGTGGGTACACTCCCTGTGAGGTGGGGTGGGGGCAGGTGGCCATTTGGCCCAGGCCTCCCCTCAGTCAAGGGTACAAAGTGCTCCACTTTAATCCTAAAGGGCCTAAAGATAAAGCTAAATAAATTTATGTTGTTCATTTTACAATTCTAAAAAATTAACATGCCATTTAACATTAAAATAGTTTTGACCCATCTTCCCTAACAATGAGGGGCCTCACCATGTGAAATGGCCCAAGCCTCCTCTGAGCTATTGGAGGGCCTGAGTGCACACTCAACAGAGATCAGATTTTAGAGCAAAATTAGACATGATGGTACTTGCATGATTGTAGTAGATGTCTCTCATATTTAGAAAAATGTTTATAGCAGCTGGGGGGGGGAGGAAGACAAGTTGTCTCAGGAGCAGGGGTTGGTCAGTTGGACCACTGAGTGGAAAGCAGAGACCTACAGTAAGCAAAGTCTTCAGCCTTTTGCCAAAGGAAGCTTGTTACAGGTGTCAGGGGAGGCACAGACTTGCTGTGTGCCTCCCTCAGCCAGTCACTTGCATACGTAATACGGCTTATTAGCTATTAAGTCAAGGAAGGAGACAATGCATTACCAGTTGTATTGTCAAACGTCTGTCTGCATCCCTTTTATGGTGAGTCCTGTGGAATCTCATCTGTTCAGTTACAAGGCCAGGCTGAGAATCCAGTCCATATGGATCTAATACTGCTCACAGTAAGACACCTCTGCATTGGTTAAAGAAGTCTGCAGCCAGGGCCAAATTCAGGCCCTGATCTTATGACTCTGAAAAGATTTGATCGTAGGTAGTCCGAAACAGATCCGGAAAGAAAATGAAAATGAATCCAGCTTTCCAGAGCTCTGTAGAGCAGAACACATTGTGCTTCACAGCACAGCTTTAATCTTGTACTTTAACTGTGCAATCCTGTAAAAGTCACCCTAGGCCAATTATGCACCAAACATATTGTCATGTTTTTAAAATTCTAACTGGGTCCAAAAAAGACAATCTAGGATGCATCTGATAACTGTAATATATGATTATTTCAACAAGAAACACAAACACACACAGAGAAACAAAAGCAAAAAAAAAATGTTCTGGCACTTTAAAGACCAACTGCTGTTACACAAACACACACAGAGTGTGTGTGTGTGTGTGTGTGTGTTCTGGCACTTTAAAGACCAACTGCTATTATATATATTTAATGTAAGCTTTCATGGAACATTGCCCGTGCAACTAGAGCTTAGGGTTCTGCATTTTCTTCAGTTCCATTTTCTGCTGCAGCTGGACAGGGCCATGCCTGGACCTGGGAAGGCAGGGAGGGGATATAACCAGATCTTGATTTGTTTGGTAGGTTGGAAAAAGAGTCTAGCATTGATTGATTGATTGATTGATTGATTGATTGATTGATTGATTGATTGATTGATTGATTGATTGATTGATTGATTGATTGATTGATTGATTGATTGACGGAGTCATCGGTTGATTGATTGATTGATTGATTGATGGAGTCATTGGTTGAGTCATTCATTCATTCATTCATTGATTAATTTGTCTGTTCATTCATTCGTCTGTCA